ACCAACGACATACCTTCCCTCATGTACCCACTCATCTATATCATACTCACTTCATCATTCCACCAATAAGGTTTGTGATGTCTCCTGTCATACATTCTCATCACATTCCTTCACACTCTTCAACCTTCCATCACTTGGGATACACATATTTACAATTCATTTACTTTCCCGAACAAAAGTAACGTGGTATCAACACTAGGGAAGCTGAGACATGTAACCCAGTATCTCTATACTCACTGTCCCTGTTGTATCTACACTCACTGCCCCTGTTGTATCTACACTCACTGCCCCTGTTGTATCTACACTCACTGCCCCTGTTGTATCTACACTCACTGCCCCTGTTGTATCTACACTCACTGCCCCTGTTGTATCTACACTCACTGCCCCTGTTGTATCTACACTCACTGCCACTGTTGTATCTACACTCACTGTCCCTGTTGTATCTACACTCACTGTCCCTGTTGTATCTACACTCACTGTCCCTGTTGTATCTACACTCACTGCCACTGTTGTATCTACACTCACTGCCCCTGTTGTATCTACACTCACTGCCACTGTTTTTATCCCACACTCACTGTCCCTGTTGTATCTACACTCACTGTCCCTGTTGTATCTACACTCACTGCCCCTGTTGTATCTACACTCACTGCCCCTGTTGTATCTACACTCACTGCCACTGTTGTATCTACACTCACGTCCCTGTTGTATCTACACTCACTGTCCCTGTTTGTATCTACACTCACTGCCACTGTTGTATCTACACCCCACTGCCCCTGTTGTATCTACACTCACTGCCACTGTTGTATCTACACTCACTGCCACTGTTGTATCTACACTCACTGCCACTGTTGTATCTACACTCACTGCCACTGTTGTATCTACACTCACTGTCCCTGTTTGTATCTACACTCACTGCCACTGTTGTATCTACACTCACTGCCCCTGTTGTATCTACACTCACTGCCACTGTTGTATCTACACTCACTGCCACTGTTGTATCTACACTCACTGCCACTGTTGTATCTACACTCACTGCCCCTGTTGTATCTACACTCACTGCCCCTGTTGTATCTACACTCACTGCCACTGTTGTATCTACACTCACTGTCCCTGTTGTATCTACACTCACTGCCACTGTTGTATCTACACTCACTGCCCCTGTTGTATCTACACTCACTGCCACTGTTGTATCTACACTCACTGCCACTGTTGTATCTACACTCACTGTCCCTGTTGTATCTACACTCACTGCCCCTGTTGTATCTACACTCACTGCCCCTGTTGTATCTACACTCACTGCCACTGTTGTATCTACACTCACTGCCCCTGTTGTATCTACACTCACTGCCCCTGTTGTATCTACACTCACTGCCACTGTTTATCTACACTCACTGCCACTGTTGTATCTACACACTCACTGCCAAATGTTGTATCTACACTCAATGCCCCTGTTGTATCTACACTCACTGCCACTGTTGTATCTACACTCACTGCCCCTGTTGTATCTACAAATCACTGCCCCTGTTGTATCTACACTCACTGCCACTGTTGTATCTACACTCACTGCCCCTGTTGTATCTACACTCACTGCCCCTGTTGTATCTACACTCACTGCCACTGTTGTATCTAACACTGCCTCCACTGTTGTATCTACACTCACTGCCACTGTTGTATCTACACTCACTGCCCCTGTTGTATCTACACTCACTGCCACTGTTGTATCTACACTCACTGTCCCTGTTGTATCTACACTCACTGTCCCTGTTGTATCTACACTCACTGCCCCTGTTGTATCTACAAAATCACTTTCCACTGTTGTATCTACACTCACTGCCCCTGTTTTTATCTACACCCCACTGCCCCTGTTGTATCTACACTCACTGTCCCTGTTGTATCTACACTCACGTCCCTGTTGTATCTACACTCACTGCCACTGTTGTATCTACACTCAGCCCCTGTTGTATCTACACTCACTGCCACTGTTGTATCTACACTCACTGCCACTGTTGTATCTACACTCACTGTCCCTGTTGTATCTACACTCACTGCCCCTGTTGTATCTACACTCACTGCCACTGTTGTATCTACACTCACTGCCACTGTTGTATCTACACTCACTGCCACTGTTGTATCTACACTCACTGCCACTGTTGTATCTACAATCACTGCCCACTGTTGTATCTACACTCACTGCCACTGTTTTTACTACACTCACTGCCACTGTTGTATCTACACTCACTGCCACTGTTGTATCTACACTCACTGCCCCTGTTGTATCTACACTCACTGTCCCTGTTGTATCTATACTCACTGCCACTGTTGTATCTACACTCACTGACACTGTTGTATCTACACTCACTGCCACTGTTGTATCTACACTCACTGCCACTGTTGTATCTACACTCACTGCCACTGTTGTATCTACACTCACTGCCCCTGATGTAACTATACTCACTGCCCCTGTTGGAACTAGACTCACTGCCCCTGTTGTAACTATACTCACTGCCACTCTTGTAACTATACTCACTGCCCCTGTTGTAACTATACTCACTGCCCCTGCTGTATCTACACTCACTGCCCCT